GTTGTCGCCACCTCCGGCATACTCGCCTGGCGCACAGCGCCCGCCCCCCAGTGCGTCCAACTCATAACAATAACAGGCCGCCCGCCTGACCCCCGTCACACGCGCGCCTCGGCGCGGCTGCGCGGCGCCTCCCGGGTCACTCAGCGCTGGCCCTGACCATGAACACGGCCGCCCCCGCGTACCGCCGCGCCGCCGGCTGGGCCAGAGGCCGCTAGAGGCCGCCAGAGGCCGCCAGAGGCCGCCGAGGGGCAGAGACGCGCCGCGGACAGCGGACGGAACCGCCAAGCTATTCCCGTCCCGTTTCCGCCCTCGGAAATAGGGTTTTTCGCTAAGTACGCGCGCGGTCGAGAGGCTGGGGCCGTCGTGTCGGCACCCCGCCCCCGCCCCGGGTCAGGCCTGGTCAGCCGTGCCCCACACGATCATACTACAAGGGTGCGCTCAAATAGTCATCGCGCCTCGACACGCGCCAGACTCTCGTTCTATTTCGCGACGCGGTAGTACGGCGGGGCGGGGCGGGGAGGGAGGGAGTGCGACGCGGCTTGGGGACACGGGACACGGCGGGCGCGGGTGCCGAGTGGGTCGGTACCAATAGCCCGAAGGGTTTGGCCGCGGTGGTAGTGAAGTGAAAACCGTCGATTTGGGTAATTCATATAATTGTCAGCGAGAAAAAAAACGTCGATAATATCTGATGACAAGAAAGAGATGCCCACAGAATAGAATTTATCCTCGCTAGGCGAGAGGACAGTGAGTATGGATTCCATACTATGGAACCCTCAGTTTTCCATCCGAACGATAATCGAATAGGTAGCACGACGGGTCGAAATACTTGTCATGCACATATGCGCTGCGCAGTTCCAAGCAGGATCTCAGCTGTTGCCCGCCTCCCCTCTTCCCCGTGGGACGGCCCTTCCCTTCTGGTCCCGGCGAACAAACAGCTGTTACACACGGAACTATAAAACAGTTCTCATGACACGAGGAAGAGTGGCGTGGCAGTTGTGACTCATTGTTGACTGCTTGGCTGCAGTAGAGGAATGCAGGAAGGGTCTCCTTGTGATGACATGGTTACAATAGTCCAATGAGCAAGCCAATGAGGCTTACTGTTTTTAAAACCGAGGCATGGTTCGGGAGCCCTATATCACAGGCACCGGATGGCCGATACGGCCCGAATGCCACTTCTATATACGTCTCGTAGGGGGAGATTATCCAAAAAGTACGCGCGACACTCGCCGTTACGAACCAGCGAGTTCAGCCTACATGCTCTCATGGCGCCTGGTCGATAGGCAACATCTCGACTGCATTGCATGCGTGTCGTGCGGGGTGGCCTACCCCGAGTCTCGCAGGCGCTGAGCTCCCTTTATTTGCCAAAATGAATCTGAGAAAAACGGACTCAAGTTCTGGGCGAGCCCTAGACAGGACGGGTGAGTTTGCATCATTACTGCTCACAGTCTATGAAGATGGCGCACGGCCCGGCCCCCGCCCAGTCTAACTATATGTAGGCGAATCAGCCACCTGAGATAACAGGGGTCGAAAGGCTACGTAACTTTGTTGCATTGTAATTGTAGCTACACACGTTCCGTTTGAATTGCGTTTTAACAGTTCCTGTGAATGCGTGACGTGGACTAGTCAGTTTTACTAATCGTGACTGCGAGGCTCGGAGGAACGAATAATAAAAAAAATGTAAAGAGCTTTGAGTCGTGCGAGAACAGGGACTTATACGACGACAGTCCGCTTTTGCGACGGAAAAAAAAAGCATTTGGGTCCGGCTATGTGGCACTTTCGGCTGCGACATGACACGAAGATCCGTATCTTTTATGTATTTAAATTTGTTTGCGCAGTTGGTGCCCCCCTTTGGCCGAACCTTTGGCGGGGTGTATAGGCGCTGCGGGAGGAAGGGCTCTGGGGAGCGACTGGCAAATATGGACATCGCCTCAGAGACCTATTTTCGAAAATCTCAACAACAAAACAAAGCGCATGAGTTTTTTTTTTCGTTTTTTTTTTTTCAAGTACATGACTCATGCATCTTGTCGCCACATGTAACATTTGTCACCTATACTTCTCGGTATAGGTCGTCGTATTATTCCCCCCTTCTGAGCAGATGGGCGGGCATAGCAGCAGGTGAAGTGAGGCGGCAGGTTCCATTCGTAAGTTCCACTGCCCCCGCCCGCATCGCGCTAATCGCAGAGAGGGAGAAGAGTATCACTGCCAAAAGAAAAAGACAACCAGGAACAAGTCCAATATAATTTTTCTGACGACCTCTGATCCCCGCCGCGGCCTGCTATAGATCTCACCCACCGTCCCCCCGCGTGCGTGCTCACCTAGAGTAGTTGGGCAGCTTTGGCCGAGCAGAAAGAAATCGCTAATCGATGTCGAGTCCACGTCGACCACTTGTTGGACCATTTTAATCCGCCGAGTTGACTCGTTTGACACATTTCGACCTCGATTCCACGGGACGCGCGTCCGGCGGTGGCCGCAGTGGTGGCGCTGCCACAGCAGCAGCGTAGCTGCCAGTCCGATTAGCATATGACATTTAACGCGACTGCATTTCTCAGGGCAGAGAGTGATTCCGCTGCATGACACGCCAAATCACTTCTCGGCGTCCTTCGCGCCCGCGACGCAGCCGAGCCGGAGCACGTGTGCCGTACCGGCCATACCGGCTACCTTTACCTCCTGGAGCGTTTTCATCCGCGCGTTTTCACAGACCTGCGGGATGTCAAGAGTCTTGTTTGCCCGCCCCTGACCCGCCCTACATTCCACCATGTCCGCGTTGTGGCCCGGCCTCAGGCCCGGCCTCAGGCCCGGCCGGCCCCACGCGCCGCACCCCGCGAGCTCAACACTATGGGGGGTTCCATTGTAATACCTTATCGGCGGTCTCCGCGAGCCAAGGCGCACTGCTCTGCTGCACATCAATAAAAAACACACAATCAAAATGCAATTTACGATGATTGAGCTCATAAAGGCGCAAGTAGCATAGCCGCCGACCGTATATTCTGTCCTCCTCCTCCTCCGTACTCCGCGCTTACTGGATGTGAGTGACCGATGAGTGACTCCCCCTCCCCCTCCTCTCCAATAGCTGATGTCGATTCGACGGTATCAGAAGACTAGTAAGTATCGGGAAATGAAGCACAGTCGCTGGTGTGTAATCCCCTCTCCTGGTTTCACTCTCGTCCGGGAGAAAGGAGTGAGGGGGGAGGGGGGGGGGCTGGCCTGGTCTCTCAACGCGTTTGTTCCTCACCCACCTTTTTATTCCTCGCTGTGTTTTCGCTAGTCGGTGGCGCCTCGCGCCACCACTCTGCTGAACAACTTGAGCATCGTCCAAGAGTACAGCACGGAGGCGGTGCGGATAAACAAATACACCGTATGCGGCCTCAGGAGGATGACGTTATCGAGGGAGCCGTGGTGGAGGGGCGGGAGAAAGGGGAAAGGGAAACTGATTTTTTAAAAATTTGATTCTTTTTTTATTATTGGACTTGAGATAGTGGCTTATCGGTGGCACAGCCGACGAGGTGGACAAGAACGGCCGAGTGGAGGAGTGAGGTCTGGGTGCACCCGTCAACGAGGTGGTGGTGGTGGGTGGTGCATGTATGAGGGAGGTATGCATGGCGTGGATGGTATTCCAACGGTGTGTCCACGGGGGAAGGGGTAAGAACAATAAAAACGGAAGTTATGGAAAGGTTCCCCAACCTTTTCCCGCTCCTCCCCTGGCCTGCCGACGGCGGGGGTGGGTGGGGGGACGGCCCGGGTCCAGGGGGTAGCGGGGAGAGGCGGAGGAAGGAGCCTTATTTCCACCTCCCGTTTTTGTGCTTCTCACTTGCACCCTGCGCTCCATTCGAATATGCCCTCCGGTGTACACGCGCGTGACGCTAAGCACGCGCGCCGGGCGGCGCGTGGCGGTGCGGGGCGCGGGGCGTGGCGGCGGGGAAGACGTTTGTCAGTAAACAGCTACCACGGCTACACGGTGGCCAGCGTAGCTAGCCGTACGCGCTCGGGACGAAGAGTCGCCTCTATCGCCTAGACCGCCTAGACGCGGCGCCGCGCCCCGCCACGCCTCGCCGCGCTGGTCTTCGCGTAAACAGGCACCTGTCTATAATGGTGCCTGTTGTTTTTGTTGTTGCTCTTCTTTGCGCTTCCGCCCGTACACAACAGTCCTCGAGATAGTGTGGGGCGGATGAGCAGTGCGGACTTAACGCGTTCTATGGACGCGGGGGACAGCTCCAAAATCGCCAAGGAAAGCAAAAGATAACAAAAAAAAAAACGTTCCGACAACTCATTGTGATAGAGGACACGCCCTGCGCTGCCTATCAGGTTGGGCCCGATGACTTGGTGCACCTCGGTGGG